AATTATATTAGCAAATTGCTCAATAAATTGCATAGAAAATAAACTGGAGACATTACAAGATGAAAATTAGAGTCTTTAAAATAAAATAAAATCACGTGGATATTCTGGGCCAACCCTACCATCTGCATTTCCAGTCATTTAGACATAAAAACTGAGAATAACTACCAAAACAACAGATCCAAGATTGGGAAAACAATAGTAAGTATATGTCTCTAAATTCCTATGAATAAGAGTGGAAGTAAGCCCTGGGACCATCCCAAGAGCCTGGAGCATAAGGCTGTGCAGAGCAAGGGTAGCGGGTCCTCACAGAGAGATGGAGTGTTCCTGCCTCACCTCCAGGGAAGGAGTCTGCACAAGCACTTCTGGAGAGATTACAGGAGTTTGGAATATGACTTCTCCACTGCTCAGAAAGGAAAAAATTAGCGTAGGATAATAATCCTATCTCTTTAAAGGGGAATTTGTAGGATTAGGATGGCTTGCAGGACCTGCTCCTAAGTGTGGTGATGAGAAAGACTCTTCAATCTGATAGATGATCTCGGCTGTCAGTTGTGTGGGGTGTGCAAGTATATCTGTATGTATATATACACACATACTAGATTATATATTATATATTTGATGTATGTAACTTAAACACAGTATCTATTTTAAAAGATGAAAATGAGGTAGCACCTGGCTAAACACACGACAAATCCATTTCCTCTTCAACGACACACAACAATTGGGTTGAAACTCAAGCTTGGCTACTAACCTCCCCAACAGTACATGTGTCTTCCTTTCTGTCTTCTTCTTGGTCTGCAGACATAATGCAGATTCTGATATTGTAGAAAGAACCTCCAGAAAAAGAATGTGAATTCTCCTTTAAGGTAGGCTTCTCAGCATGTGCACAGCATCAACATCTCAAGGGTGCAGATGTGTTAATTCCTCATTGCATTACTAGATTTGAGTATGTTTGTTTCTACAATACAACATAGCTAAGCACTACAGAAAAATAGTATACATATATGTATATAATTACAATATAATATATCAAACAAAATAGGCTTAAGGCAAGAAGCTTTGATAGCTACAAAGATTTTGAATAAAACTAACATCAGCAGCAGAGTATAACAACTATAAAATTTATATATGCTACAAAATGATTGTAATAAAATTTAAAGGAATCATTAAAATTACATATATTCATACAAAAGGTTCCCAAAGATAAGACAATTTGTACAATAAAATTAACAAATCTAATCAAGTGGCTTCCATACTCTATTTTCTGAACATTTTCAAAACATTGATAGTGTAAATGATTCTAAAGGAAAGTACACATACAACTGAGTTAATAATAAAAAACCATCAAAAACATATCCCAAATACAGATTCTGTAATCATTTAGACTACGTTTTCAATAAAAACCATGGAAATATGTTAAATGGTGACATAGCAAGTGTTAAAATGTAGTGTTACAAAATGATAGGCTGAAGCACAAATGCATTTACACACATACACAGAATACATGTACAAATATATACACACATACACATTTATATACAGGCACAGATATACATACATAAACTCATAAATGCATGGACATACACCTATATACACGCAAGCATACACATATGTACAAATGCACACACATATACCTACATACATGCAAGCATACACATACATACAAATGCACACACACATACACCTATATACATTTAAGCATACACATACATACAAATGCACACACACACATATACCTACATACACACAAGCATACACATACACACAAATGCACAGACACACACACACATACATAGAATAAAACCCACATACATCCAAGCAGATATACCCATGCATGAACATAAATGAACACAAAGAAAGGCACACATGGAATATTGATATTGAGCAAAAAACAGTGGTGGGGAACAGAAAAGCAGTGAAGAATGCAGATTAAGACATGAGACCAGTGAATGAGCTTGTCTAGGAATAAGGAGGCTCAGTTCTCACCACTGGCTTTTCACTCCAGCTCACAGATCTCCTCTGAGAAGCCCCAGGGCTCTGAAACCAACGTGAAAGGAGTCAGGAAGAAGTAAAGCTCACGTGAACAGACCAAGAAAGTCAGCTGCTCACCAGAAAAGACAACTCCCAATACAATGCCTTTAAACATTTTATCCCTTAATTAAAAAGGTGTGTGTGTGTGTGTGTGTGCAAGCGCGCTTGCTCGTGCATTGATAGAATGTTTGCCTCGCACGCACAAACCTTGAATTTGATACACAGAACATCAATAACCAGGTATTGTAGCACACACCTGCAATTTCAACCCTCAGGGATTGAAGGAGGAGGATTCATCACAGGTTTACCATATCACCTTTGACCACAGACTGAACTTGAGGCCACCCTAGGCTACATAAAATCCTGTCTTAACACCAAACCGAACAACATTGGAAGGAACAATATCATCTGTTATTTTTCAAAATGCAATACCATTTTCCCCTTTTTTAAATTAAAAAAAAAAAAAACTAACTAACAGGCAAACATCACAACATCAAAAAACCAAAATGGAGACAAAAGTGCAGGTAGCCCGGGTTGGCCTCCAACTCTTTATATAACTGAACCCTAAATTCCTGATGCTCTTGATCCTGCCGACTGAGTTCTGGGATTCTAGGTGCACACCGTACATGTTTTGGGCTGCGCTCAGGATAAGAACCAGGGCTCCCATCATGTCAGGCAGGTACATTGTCTATCAACTGAATTACAGCCAGGTGTTTCTGTTTCCACTTCTTAAACTGTTACAGGAACCAGACCCCACTGACTTTTCCTTATACATCATTTGTTCTCATTCTTTTTTGTCTGTTTGGTTTTTGTCTTTTGAGACAGGATTTCTCCATGTAAAACAGTCCTAAGCTGTCCTGGAACTAGCTCTTGTAGACCAGGCTGGCCTCGAACTCACAAAGATCTGCCTGTCTCTGCCTCCTGAGTGCTGGGATTAAAGGCATGCACCACTACCACCCAGCTTTTGTTTTCACTTCTTAAGAAATGAAAATGAGGGTTGTATTAATTTTTCAGGAGATCATACTGGATACCAAAATTTCTTCCTGTGGATCAAACCTAAATTTTTAATTACAAAAAAGTTTGAGAATTTCATACATGGCAACCATGTTTGCATAATCTCTCTATTTGCTTAAACCACCACCCATTGAGGAACCTAAGTAAGAAATATTTGATAACTCCCTCTTCAGACATGCTTAACACCACATTCAACAGTCTTGGTATATTTCTGAAGATTTTTAAGTATCATTCTAAGAATTTCAAAATTTCATGCTCCCATTTCTTTATATTTATCTCCTTTTTACTCCGTAAGTACGTCAGTCTTGATTTTTAGGTCCACTCGCGCACTTTACAGATGACTGTGAAGACCAGGTGTCATTGCTCATTGTCCGAAGCACCTCATTTCCAGAACACACTTGTCTAACATTCCTTCCCATTATCCATTACTTCGGTAGTAAATTACCCGTCCCTAAGTTACTTGTCATTTTATTTCAGGGTAAACAAGAAAAAGCTAATTTATATGAAGTTTATCAAAGATACATCTGCAGGAAGCATACCTCTTTGTTCTTGGAATAATGAATTAGGCTAAAAGGGCCTGTATAAAAAGCTGCTTGTGAGGAATTTGCATTTCCTCATGTTTTGAGCTTTCGTTGTGAAATTCCAAATGGAGGCAGCAGAGCACCCAGAGCACCGAAAAAGATGCTGCAAAATTGCTGTGTCACAACCCAGGGAAAAAAAAAAAAAAACATTGGCTATGTGTTCTTACAATGTACTACGCAGAGACAGAGGTGGAGGAGGAGGGGCAAGATTTTCTGAAATAATTTTAATCTTTTTGTTCTGTGACTTGTAAAAAAATGAAATAAAGGCGGAAATTTATTTCATTTCATCAAGCAAAACACAAAACAGTGATAAATGGGTGTGTATGGAAGGCCACAAGGCTTTGGGGGATTGCAAAGTGGTAAGCAAAAATTAAAAGTAAACAACAACAATATTCAGTCGTTATATAACAGATTGACTTATAATGGAAATAAGATTTATAATGGCAATAAACGGAACCCTTTATAGAGTAGAGGCAATTTACGTAATCATCCGACTCTGAATGAACTCATGGCATATGCTCCTGCCCACACACACACACATCACCAAGTAGTCCTTGTACACCAGGACTCACGAGAAGCGACTGTTTTTTTGTTTTTGTTTTTTGTTTTTTTAAGCAAACACCTTTCCGTATAGGGAATTTGAATTCTCCAAAGGATTTAAGGACTTACAGGGGCTTTGTAGGTCAGACACGTCGTTTCCGAAAGGAAATACCCTTTCCTCTTTCTACCTGTAGTACCCCCCCCCCCCGTTTCTCCATCTTAAAACAAGATTATCCCTGTTTGATTAGCCTCAGCAGGGGCCTTTGTGTTGATCTCAGCAGATGGAACCCACCAGCTGCATTCTTTTGTGAAAGAACAAGAGCCACGAGATAGGCATTAGCATGCTTATTCCTATGGCTGCTCCACGCGGACACCTGTGGAAGAAGCGCCTCTAAGCCGAGAGCCACTTCCTTTCCAAGATGGAGTGTGGCTTTCCCTGAGGCAAAACTCAGGCTTTCTCAGAGGCAGGTACAGCCTTGTGCGGCAAGCATTTTATATTTTAGGCATAGATCACAGCGACAGACAGAGTTTAGCATTTCTTCCCCCGAATCTTATTTGAAAACAGTTAGTCTGAACTGTTCTGGAGGGAAGGAGTAAATGAGACCTACGCAAATCTGAAACGAAGACAAGCTGAGAAGCGGGGACTGGAGGGGAATCAACCGGTGGGAGAATTTGCACATCTTTAACGCAGAGCTTACTGGAACGGGTGGGGAGGAAAAGCAGCTTCTAGGTATCCCCCACCCCCCACCCCAAGCCTCCTTCACACGAATGAGAAAATTTCATATAGTGAGAAATAAACAAGCTCCAAACCTGTATTCCTATGTCCTTAGATCTTACCTGGGAGTAGACAAGGTTTTGCCAGTGCTGTGGAGCAGGAAAATTTCCACCGGGAAATCTCGCGAGGCTAGCCTGCAGAAGGGTCGAGTTCCTCATTAAAGACTTCACGTCAAGCTGCAGGAATTTGTCAGGATGGTTGTTATTGGGCAAAACAGAAAGGTCCATGTCCCCTTTCGTCTGCGGTGGAAACAAAGCGAGCGAAGCTGGCCCTGACAGAGGCCTCCATTATTAATGAGCCCGAAGATGCTCGGGCTGGCATTTGAAACCAGGTCTCTTGTCTGCACACAAAAGCCACCCTCGAAAGGCCACGTGAGTCCACAGGAACAAAACAACAAAGCAGCAAAGGGCCCTCCATCCTACCTTACAACACACACACACACACACACACACACACACACACATGCACGCACGCATATGATGCTTAAATTGCATTAAAAAGGTTCATCAATTCAAATTAATAAAATGAGAAAATTAGATCTAGGTTGCACTTAATATCGCCCCCCATTCAGAGTACTCCACGGCTATTTTGTATATTAAAGCTGCCACAGTCATAATCTTTGTATATTAAAGCCCATCATTTGCAGCCTAGCACAATCACCGGGAAGAGCCCCACTGAGTTTGTTTTCTGTATTGCTGCATTAAGGCAGCTGCTCTGGCCCTGGCCCCACTTCCTCAGCCTCTTGGGTGATAAGCCCCATCTCATCCCTTCTCAAATTTTGAATCCCAATCTCAGGCTCCTGTAGACTTAACTGGTTTGAGTTTGGCAGCTTGTTCTAAGTGTGAAAATAGCAGACATGTATCTTGTAGATTGTGGCAGTAAGTAAGGTCCTAACGCACTGCTGTGACCCCTCCATATCCAGGGTCCTTTGATTCTACCCCTAGGTATATCAATACCTGTGAAATTCAGAGATCCCAGGGCACATTTGGAACAGGAGGGTAACCAGGCTGCTGAATTCGTAGGATGGGCTGTGTTGTAAGTGAACACATCTGTTGTTAAGACAGCCAAGGTCAGGGTGACTTTATGGCCTGCCTGGTTAGCCAACAACTGATGAATTTAATATAAGCATGCTCTCTATGCACAGGACACTCTACATGGCCTACTCCCCCACCTAGAAAGGATGGGGTTTTCATCTGGACAGAACAGCATTCCCTCTTGCAAGACTGGTTAAGGGTAGATGTATCAACAGCTTCTAACAGAGTACAATTGTTTGTTTTTTCACCAACTCTATGAACCCTTCTGATGTAGTAGGAAGGCTTCTCTTCCAGAGGCAGTGTGGTTACATGTGGAATGTTTCAGGAATAGACTTCAGAAGGGTTCCATATAGCTTACAAGAATAAGGATGTTCTTAAATCAAGCCAGACACTGGAGAGCACTTACCTTCTTTATGCAAAAGAAAAAAAAACAAAAAACAAAAAACGAGAGTATGTGATTTGACAAAAACCTGACCCACTTAGAGTCATAAACCCAATTAACAAGTTGACATTTTCTACATGAACACTTTGTACATGAAGTTCATAATGACTGATATAATTTACACATAGTTATAGCATCTATCTTCTAGAGGAAGTAACAGGCACTAACAACAAGAGTTAATAACAAAACAATCAAACCACTAACGTTTCAAGAACCAAGTTTATTATGTGCTTATCGTGTGTTTGATACAGCCTGGCTGCTGCCAAAACCTATCTAATGAGCAAGTGTTTCTCAGACCGCTCTTCCCAGAGTATTCCTTGGGGGAAAATACACATCTTTGAGAAGAGCCTAACTTGCCTTTGGTTCTCTGTGCTGGCAAGCAGAGACACAGAACTTACATCCAAATAGATTTGATTAGACCCTTCCCTTAGCCAAAGTATGACATAGGTGAAGTGAGGATTTGGTTCTCCTTAGGCTTCTTCCGGGTTTCTCTGTCTTGCTCTGTGCACGGGAGGTTTGTGTGCTGTCTCTTCGTTTGCTAATTTCCGCACATTCTGTCTTTATCCTGAAACCCACCACTTAGCATTTCTTACCACTATTCTTGAAGTCCGTATGGTGTAAACAGGAAAACTATCCCCTCTTCACCTACTGATTCTTCACACCGTCACTCCAACCTGACGTGTCTGCTCGCATCCAAGAGTTCTCTTCCTTTTCCTACCTCTTGCGTGCCTATGAATCATCTGAGTCACAGATGACACTGAACCTTCCAGAAAATCCTTATAGTATCCTTAGCAAATAAGACTTTCCCTCCTTTGAAACTTGATTTTCACCTTTGTCTGCTTGATAATGTATTTCATAATTTTATTTTAAAAGTTTCTTGTGGTGGTTAATATTGATTGCTAATTTGACAGTCTTCAGAATCCCATAGGAGACAATCCCTTGGGGACGCCTATGAGATATGATCTAGACTCAGTTACTAAAGGAAGGTCCACTCTTGACTGTGGGTGAGGCATTCCAGGGTGGCTGCAAAGAAGAAAATTAATTGAGCACCGTCATTTATCTCTCTCTGCTCCCTGACAACCAATTCAGTCTGATCAAATGCCTCGAACTCCCATCCACCATGAGAGTCTCTTCATAATGATCTGTACCCTCAAACTGTGATCCAAAATAAACCCTTTCTTCCTTGTTGTGGAGTCTGATATTTTATGACAGCAACATAACAAATAATTAACAGAAAATTGGTGGCAAATGTGAGGTTGTTGTTGCGATCAACCTGATCTCAGGCCTTCGGAATTGGCTTGCCTCTGAAGATGAAAGGCTTTGGGACTGTAAGAAGGGAGAGCTTGGAACACAAGGTGGAGGCCCAACTCATGAGGGTATAGAGGGGAATGGGAATTCTAAGAAACACTTGGACTAGATGATATTCAGACAATATCTGGCCAAGAATCTGGCTTCCCCAGTCCTGAGAACTCATGTAAGAGTCTCATTCCATTCTTATACCTGTAGGCACCCAGTTTTTCCAGTATCGTGTCTTGAAGATGCTATTTTCTAGTGTGTATTTGTGGCGCATTTTGTCAAATATGTGGTGGCTGTAGTTACGTGTATTCTTGTTTAGGTCTTCTACTTTGTTCTAGTCTACAAGCTTGTTTCTGTTCCAGTATCGTGCTGTTTTTTATTACTTTAGCTCTGCAATACAGCTTGAAATCTGGGACAGTGATCCCTCCAGCATTGCTCTTTTTGCTCAGTGTTACTTTGGCTGTCTGGAGACTTTTGGTTCTTATATGAAGTTTATGGTTAATGTAAAGAATGCCTTAGGGATTTTGATTGGGATGTGAATGAATCTGTAGATTTCTATTGGTAGAATGGACATTTTCACAGTATTAATCCTGACACTCCAGAAGGGTGAGAGGTCTTTCTGTTTCTAGTGTCTCCTCCAATCTCTTTATTTAGAGATTTTAAGTTTTCATTATAGAGGATTTTTACCCACTTGGTTGGGTTTATTCCTACATACTTTTTGAGGCTATTATGAATGGAAATATTCCCATGATTTGCTACTCAGCCTACAGGCTTCTATAAGTTGATTTTGAATCTTGTCACTTTCTTTGTGAAACTAAAAACTTCATGAAACTGCTTCTGCATTGGATCATGGAATTTAAGGTAACTGAAATCTGTATTCCCAGGCCTTGACCATGCATATGTGGATCTGGAATAAGGTATCTCTTATCCCCTTTAAGATGAGAACTGTGTTGTTTTTTTGTTTGTTTGTTTGATTTTGTTTGTATCAACAGTAATATAGAGAGGGTCAGCTGATTTCTGAACATGCAGTGGGCTGCACTGTAAAAGGGACCTCGGTTTTAGGGAACATGAATAGTTAATGTCTCAAATACACACATGTTCCTCTTGCTCCAGAAAAAGACCCTCTGTCTCCCTGTGGTCCACTCTGCCTGCTTCCTGCGGTAGATTCTTCAGAACAGAGGCAAATAGCACCTCTTCCTGCCAAGTGTGGAGATGTGGACAGCCCCGTGAAGAACTCTCTCCCCAAAGGAAGTTTCACATATTTTACTTGAAGAAAAAAAAAAAAGCCAAAGAACCGTGTGAATCATGTACAATATTTTATTACAAGAAAAAAATTAAGATGTCTTTTGAATGTTTCAGAGAGTTATAATTTTTATTTTTAATGGGAAAAATACAATGGAACTATCAAAATATTATCTGAATCTCATTTCCTTTTCTTTATTCCTAGGGAAAAGAAGAACAAATATTCACTACCTTCGCTCACATGATTGGTGAGCCTAAGTAGTCTGCTCATCACTACATCTTCTACGGGGTGTAAGGATGTAGGTGGACCAACGTTTTCTTTATTGGAAATGTTTTTAAAAAGCTACACCCTAATGGCATGTTAAAAGAAGACAGGTTTTTGTAGGATGCTGCCAATTCTGTCACAGTTTCTCTGCACCCACACCAACAGTGCAACGGTGATTCAGTGTACATCTTTACAGTGCTTCATGGTCACAATACTTGTGTTCAAGTGCATGTTCGTGAACATGATCCAAGTCTCTGTCTTGACTTCTCCACTATTAGCATAAAAGCATCATTACAGTAGACGGTCTCCTATACTCGCCTCTAAATCTGAATCAAGTTCAGAATACATTCTCTTAAGATTGTTCAAGACGGTGAGGTTTGTTCTGTTTACACATCTCCTGCGGATTACAGAAAATGGGCAGGTTCTGCAGCAGGACACAAGAAAATAGGTCATTTTCTGCACGTATAGCTAAGCTATCATGCCAAGGTAGTGTACACACTGGATAACTTAATGGCATTGGTGGAGAGAAAATAGCACCTTTCAGACAGCCATAAATGAAAAAAAAAAGATCATTTCTTTTTATTCGTGTACTAGACCCAACTTATTCAATTCAAATAAAATTATTTATGAAACCTTATAGTAAAAAAAAATCAAAATGTTTGAATAACCAAAAACAAACACCACATTAGATGTTTGGCAGGCAAATAAATTAATTTGATTAAATTATATGTAATCTGATAATATTTGGTCTGAAAAACATGCTAGTGTGTGTGTATTTATAAATAATGTAATAGCAAAAAGCTACGAGCCAGTTGGCCAGCCCGCCAGAGGTCAACTCTTCTGTTGCAGCTTCTGGGCATAGAAGTCCCTGCAGGTCTCACAGCAGCGCTGGTACCACCGCATGTCCTGGCACAGGTTCTTCTCCCGGATCACCCTGCAGTACACTGGCCACTGGTCTCCCAGGCACTTGAAGGTCAGGGCAGCTGGGAAACAGAACAAGGTGAATTCACCCTGGGAAGGCTCCTAGGTGCCGTCAGTAGGAACAATTTTTACTAATTTTTGTGGATTAATT